CAGCTTAAAGCTACAGAAATAAGAAGAAATGAATTTAGGGCTTTTTGTTGTAAATTGTATAACTGTGCAAAGAAAGGTCGTACAAAGCTGAGAGATGTCTCATTTTAATCAGAAATGTGCGGGCTACAATCATGCCTCATTAAGAAAGGTTCGGGTTATATTTTAGAGTTTCTGAAAAACTTCTAGAAAACCAGGCCGTCGAAGGCCTGTGGGGAAGCCCCACGGTCGTATTCGTAATCAGCATGATCGATAACCTATAACCCACTAGATTCCGAGCAAAAAGCGTTTAATCACTTCGAGGGGTTCCCCCGCTAGTTTGACTTTTGTTTTTCGTCGAACGAAGTTTTTTCATCCTCAGGGTCCGAAGGGCATAGTTCCGACTTTTTCGTTTCGACAATGTCGTTCTCCGTATTTGCGGTAATGTCGCTGTATCGAACTTTCAAAACAAACTCGTATCTGACACGCATGCTTTTTCATAGTACAGTTAAGCCCCTCTTTGCATAATTCATAGAAACTTACATTTTATTAACAAAACTACCATGTATTTACATTCACGCACAATAACCATAACTATGCAGAAAATAACAAGCACAATGGCAAATTCACAAAAAAATACAAGCGAAAAGAAGTTATTACTAAAGGTTAAAAGGAAAGTACTTCTCTTTTCTTCTTAAAGGAAACAATATTTCTTTCTGTGCATGGTAGGCGACGTGTGTACATAACAACAAAGTTTTGTGCGTCCTGTGACTGCTGTTAAATGGAAGAGAAAAAAAATATTGAATGCATTTTATCACTCATTCATTCATTTGTAGTTAAGAAGATAAATTAATACAAAACATACATTTTATTCATAGGATATTTATAGAATAGAAAAAAAATCGATATATATTTTTCTTTCTTTAACATATCATACAGAGACAAAAATAGTCACAAATTGTTTTGAAACTTCTAGTTAACTATATACCTGCGTGAGGCAAAAAATATCTGCAATTCACGTACGTTTAAAAAAAGAGTTAAAATGACATCATCAATAAAGAAAATAAGTGAAATGAATTCACAGGAATTAATTGAAAAATATGGAGGTAACGGATATTGGTGGTTTTATGAACTAGTTTTAACCGTTGAAGATGTGAAAAACGTTACAAATGTCATCCTTAATGGCGGCAACAGAGCTCAACATAAACTTGGATTCGTTAGAAGTGAAATAACAGATGATAGTATCAAGGAAGTAGCTGAAATGTTAAAAGTTGATAATTCATTAACACACATTGCGATTGAAGAAACTCCAATTAGTCACGATAGTATAAAGCTGCTGTGTGATGCATTAAAGAGTAATAAAACAGTCTTGATTTTAGAACTTTACTTTATTAATGTGACAGATGATGATGTACAGGAACTAGCTGAAATGTTAAAATTTAATAAAGCATTGAGAGAACTTAGAATGGAACGTAATCAAATTACTGATCGTGGTGTTAAAATGTTAGCTGATGTATTAAGCAATCATAATAGTACACTGGTACTTTTAGCTCTTAGTTATAATAAAATAACGGACGATGGTGCAGCTGAATTCAGTGAAATGTTAAAAGTGAATAAAACATTCGAAGAACTTCAAATTGGTGACAATCAAATTGGTGATCAGGGTATGAAAATGTTATGTGATGTATTGACGACAGGTGGTGGTGATGGGGGTAATCGTACACTTACATTTTTATATATGAATCGTAATCAAATAACTGATGAAAGTGTTGATAAGATTGTTGAAATGATAATAGTGAATGACAACTTGAAACGTTTACATCTTGCTGATATGCAAATCTCGGAAGCGGGGTTTGATAGAATATATACAGCAAGAGGGACGAAATCTATGCAAATTATTAAATAATTCAGTAGAAGAAGAAATCATAACAAAAAGAATAACTGATCGATCATATTTCTGTTCCCTATAGAAGGTAAATGCATTGCTTATTCTATCTACCCTTTTTTGCTTTCCTATCAATTGATGTACACTATTACAATCTTTTCTCGCATTTCTTTCCGTGTCTGCTTCTGATTATATTTCTTTGATTTCGAATAAATTAACAAATATTTATATACGATCCTTTTCCTTTCTCTCTGGAAACAGTTATAGAACAAGCGAATGTGCCACTTGTTTACACCACAGTTTCTATAATTGTTTACCACAGTTTACATCTGGTCACAAGCAGGGTCGTTATAGTTGCTGTAATAAGGAAACACTACAAGCAACAAAATATAATTATAATTTCGCCGTTTTTTCGGTACCAATTTTTAGATTTTTCCTTACTTATTTATTTTTCTGATTCTATAGATAAATCCTTCTCATGCTTTAGCAATCTTTTATAGTACTTCAATCAGTTCGTTAAGTAGTTGTTTAACGAAGAATAAACATCGCAGTTATAATGCACATTATAATGTATAGAACAGAGGGACAGAACAGAAAAATATTCATTAAAAGTAGAAAGTTATAGCAAGCAATTATGCTATCTGATATTTTTCATTATGTGTGTTCTGTCTGACTACTTACATCACTGGTCTGTTTATATGAGGTTACTCTGCAGAGAAACCTTATATAAGCAGACTAGATGTCGGTCTGTGCTGTAGACCGAAGTTATTTTCTGTAAGAATATGCTTGGGAACCAATCTTGTTCCGCGATATTAACTAAAAAAAGTTTGGAAGCTAGGAAAAAAGATTTAGGAAGTTCTACTAGTAACCACGTGTGAGAAATTTTTGACGTGGTAACTCGCGACGATTGATCCGACAAGTATGAAGATCAGATTTATTAAACCCCCCCCAGAATAAAAGGGCATGCCCTTATACAGTGGTCCTGGCACATCGCTACTTTTTGGGTGGCCTTCTATTGGGGGTCAATTTTTGGCCAGTTCTTAATTAAAATCATTTAAAAAATTA